ACTCAGGCAGCATTGCTAAACTAGCATCCCTTCTGTGAAAACCCCAAATCCTACAAGCCATATAACATTTCACAGAAGTCACCACTCCTTACCATGAAAAGGACAAATCCAACTCGGAATGAAATCATCACAATCTGTGATCTGCCAATGTGTTTTGTGTAGCGTGTGGCACATATGAATTTTTTAATACTGTACCACCCTGCATGGACAGAGTTCATTCAAATACAGCTTATGACATTCAAGAAAATATTGTGAATTTAATCCATCTTATATAGATAGATTAAAATGCCAGCTGAGTTAGTTGCTTGGAGTGTACAAAATCTACAGGTGCTCTGACCCAGAATTTATTGATTCAACAGTTTCAGTTATGACAGCATTTGGACACAATTTTACTAAACTGGCGTATATCGATAATTATTATCCTGCTTGTAAAAAAAATTGCATTTGCTGATAAATACTAATGACATTTCACACATCCAACTATTGTATCAGCCATAAGATTATGGAAATAATATATAAATCATTTTATAATGTAGCTAATTCTGGATAATGTTTTCATTCCCTAAATTATTTAAAGTGAAGAGTATGAAGTCTAGAGGTCTCTTTTACAAATGATGATTTTACTCATGCACATCTAGGCATTAATGCCAATGCTATTTCAAAACATTTTAAAAGCACTGAATTACTAATTAAAGAAATCCCTGGAAAGAGAGTGTCTGGAATTGATTCTACATATTGCATTAATAATGGAATTCTATGCACAAGAAATAATTATGTCAACCACATCACTGAAAATGTTCCTAACAGTCCTGGCAAACACTTATCTCACATTTTCACATTAAAATATTAAAAAGGCCATTCACTTGTTCATAGCCTACTATGTACATGTACTTCTATACAAAGCAGAGAAACAGAATTCTATATACAGTGACAAAATTAATAACCAAAACAGATGTAAAGTTACTAGAACATTATAGCATACTTCATAGTCTTAATGAAGTTCCAGTTCATTCCGAGTAATGTGATTAATATTATTCTTCTATGTGAAACACTCGAGCATAAATAAAATTGTGGAATCATGTTTGGCATGAAAGCTGCACAATGCCAGTCTGCTAAACATCATAGAAGAGCGATGCCAGTGGATAGCGGATTATAAATGCAAGAACGCTGCAAAGAACCTGCAACATAATGCCAGAAATCAAGTACAATGCATGATCATTTGTTACTGCAAACTGGTAAAAGCAAGAACAGCAAAATTACAGCTCCAAGAAGATTAATAAAAGTATATGTGAAGCTTATATACGGAACCGAAGGGCGTTAAGTAATGGAATTGAAAAGACACACATGTTCAAACACTGAAATCAACTCAAACTTCAAAACATCTCTGTGTCTGAGTTTTCTTGGTCTGTGAGACAGTGTTCAAGCACTTAAAACACGATTAGGCTAAAATAACATTTTTTTTCACACAACAAATAATATATTAAATATTCAGATACCTGTTTTCATACAATGACATCATCATCCTTGGGCTGTTCATATATTTTCCGTAACATGCAACTGCTTAATTGTTTATATCATACCTCCTTAATGGAACTGTTGATAAATAATAAACTCATGCCACATACCACATTCAGAAAATAAAAAGCTTCAGAGCACATACAAACCTGGATAGCAAGCAAGATGGTGGTGAGTGTTGCCTCATGTGTAGGTCCATTCCGAATCAGCACAAAGTTGATGAGTGTGAGATTATTGCATTCAACATACGTCTCCTTGTCATTTGTGCAGTACTTTTTTTCTTCCCAGTGGACCAAGTGTAGTACTTTCAACGCCGTCATACTCAATTTACCGAGATAATTTAAATCTGACATCTTGAATCTGGTAACACTGGCTTCCAGCTTGTCCGTTCGAATGTCGTAACTTGGCGCAGAAGAAATGTATCATAGTAAACATTAAGCAATATAGATGTAACTACACAGATATTTAGCATAAACTGAAAATTCAAAACTAACAGGAAATGTGTCACACAAATGTTACAACAGACACACAATCTAAAATTAGATGGTTCATGTAGCTATGTTATTCCAAGCTTGCAGAGTAAAAATATAGGTTAAACACAAATGATCCGAATGGTTTCAGACACTTACATGATAAAAACTAAACAACAGACAAAAATGGAACTTACACCACTGGAAGGAATATATCAGACTTCAAAAGAGTTTGTGGGAGAAATGATGCATCTCCAATGATAGCTACTTGGAGCACGACTATTGACACGGAAGTAAAATGGTGACTCGACTCAACACAAAAAATGCTTTGTTAGGTTGAATCACCATTTTACTGTCATGACAACAGTGGTCAACACTCAGCTCCCTGTTCTCCGTCACCCTCTATCTTCTTCCCATAACAGAAGACCAATTTTCATTCTCATACAAAACATGTACACTTTCAATGGTCACTCCACTAACCTTGGCAAACGATGTCTTGGGCAGGGCACCAGATGGAAGAGTTGCGGAACAGAGTACACAAAGTTGATAACTTGAGGCAGGAAGAAAAGAAGCATTGTCTTGCTGAAGTGGCCTAAGATTCCAACTACGGCAAATGTCATGCCAGAGAAGTAGCAGAATGTATCTCCAACAAACACTCTTGAAGGATACCTGTTCCAATACATAATCACTTCAATTAGTAGTAATGGAAGGGAGAAAAATCCTGCTATATATCCATTTGTCAAATCAATATATATCATCTTACTTCCCACACATGACATATTTCTTTGACTTTAGAAATATACAACCACCAGTTCCTTGACACTGCATAACCACCTCCAAACAGTCTGACGTTACTTCAACCCAGCTCACATTAGTGAGCCTTAAGATACCTTGGGATGCAGTGGTGATAAACCCTCATTCTTTAATACTAGGAAATAACTTTATTAAAAACAGAGTTTCAGTTTGTGGCACATAATCTAAAACTCAAAATGCCAGTTCCTTTAGCAATACCAAAATTAATTCAATTTATTTTCTTGTTCTGACCAAAAATATTGCCTGCCTATAACAGAACAACTGAAGCTCATATTGTTACACATCAACTTTTGGAAAATGTGTGTGTGTGTGTGAGAGAGAGAGAGAGAGATAAACAGCTCCTGTTGTGAATGTAGTTCATATATATATAGACACACACACAAACACAAAGTGTCCTAACAATAGCTTTAAGTCACATTGTAAATTGCCATTCAAATGAGTTTGTGAGGCCATTTATACATAACTAAGTCATGCTGTGACCTCAGGCAATTACGGTCACAAAACCATTTACTAATGGCCTTGCAAACCTGGAAGAAAATGCTTGTAATGACAATTCATGGTTGTTACTTCAACCTGATTTAGAAATGTAGTCCTATTTTCATTCTTTGAAAAGTTAGAATAATGAATAATAGTAATAAAACAAATAGATTCAACACCTCAAGCAACATCACTCGGTATCATTTCTTTTGTGCTGCTATAAAACACTTAAGTAGTCCACATTCTCACAAATTGTTAATTTGGGATGTATTTTAAGTTTATACTTCAATCTCCTTCTTGGACTACCAAGTGGAGATCTCCTCTCAGAATTCTGTATGCATTTATTATTCCTCCTCCTGAGCTATGTGACTGGCCTGATAACTTTAATTTATATACTCTATAAATAGCAAATAACCCATTACTATATGAAGTGTTATTGCCACACCTGACACCACATTATCCATCACTTTTTCATCAAGTTCTTATACAGCTGCAATACTCTCAATCAACAACCTCTGATGAGCCAATTTCAAAATGGTGAAAAACTAAAATCTCAATGTGAGAGTGAGGTTTTCATGGCAGTAAGAAGTTCAATTGTGGTCTCGTTGTGTAGTCTTTGTCGGCATTTACTGACCTTCCGAAGTATAAGTCTTTTAGGTACTCATTTATCATAAGGGTAGATGTTTTAAACTGAGGATGCAGGCAGCATGCTCCTCTGAAATACTGATAACGCAAAAATTACATGTTATTAGTTATAAACAATCCAAACTGGTTTTTCAATTTATACCATGAATCTACATAAATAAGCTATCTTGGTGAAGTATAAAAGTGCGAATTCTCGTCTTGGTAGGCAAATGTTAGTGTTCTATGAAACAAACTTAACATGTCACACGTCACACCTTATAAGGCTTCATGAACACGCAACTGGGAACTCCATTGCATTAGCATCAATGGAGTGCGCGCGCAAAAGAATAATTTAGCAGACGACAGACAACTGTGCCAAGAGTTTTGGGTGGGCTCATACTGTTAGAACAATGACCTGCAAGATTTGTAAAGTAATATTTATAATAAATGTATTACAGAGTGGATTTTAAATTATGTATGCTCTGGATATTGCTTGTGCTTCAGGTTTTGTTGGTGATATATTATTTGCTTATGGCTCCTGCATCGTACGTGTTCGAGTACTCTACACCGACACCAAAAGAACACGAATTTTCATTATCCAGCAACTATAAACCATATTCGGTAAAGTTTGTTGCCCCAAGCATCGCAAAGGCTGTGTCACGACGCAAAGAGTGGCAGGGATACCTTACAGAAGCAGATCGTGTGATATTACCAAATATTGTACTCAGTAGTTATTTTGTTAAACTGAACAACGAAAGTGTTTGTTTTGTACCAGGAACAGACATAGGTTACACAAAGAAACAGCATGTAAGTATTACTACTCAACACTTTAATTTATTACCTTATGTCACTTTGAAATGCGATTTATTGCAGTAGGCAGTTACATCGATCCTTTGAGGTCATGTTCGAATGGTTACATTGTGATTACGAAAAAATACCCATCGACAATAAACTAGGTACGCCATGCAGATCGCAAAGGAATACCTTTTGAAAGACTGAAAGGTTACAAAAATCTTTTCGGTGGAATTTTATAAACGGGGTGCCAATTCTAATGTCTCACATTCAAAAAAATAACCAGAAAATGACGTCAAACCACCAATACAGCCACTTTAAAATTATTTATGAAATGCTGGTAAGTTTAAAATTGTAAAGAGTTTATGTAAAATCCGAACGCAAATCTTCATATGTTATATCCTCATGTGGCCAAAAACACACATAATTCTGCCCCACCCCCCACACACACAGAAAAATAAATGTAAATGACTAATACACAAGGGCCAAAGAACATAAGAAAAAATATTCTCTTTTTTTCTGGGCATATAAAATGAATCCGTCTTGCACAATATTCCTGAACTGTGGTACACCTCTGTTCACAACATGCCTAGGGCCACCTGATTCACGTGTTCAGGTATTCACAACAGAAGTTGTAAAAGATGACAACTGTTGCTCAACTCACAAGAAATTGAATTATTTCATTTGTAAAACCAATGTGCCCAGAGGTATCTCAACAAGACGATTTACTTAAGAATCAGTCATGATGAAACAATGTTCCCTTCTGCATGCTCTGACAAACACTATGAGGACCTTACGCCTTTCATACACACCTCCACTGAAATCTGTCACTCCATAAACTTCCCCATCTTCTTCACAAACCATACATACAATTACAACATAGATGAATGGCTGAGAAAAGAAACTATTCAGTATGCAACCTCGATGTTCTGTTTATTAGCCAGGGGCTTCAGTGTCTTCACAGACCAGATAAGCACTGGCATAACAGGTGCTTATCTAGCCTGTGTGCTTAACAATGTTCTTTTTCTTCATATCAAGCAACTTAAATAGATCTCTCTAACTCTGACTGTCCTGTTACTAAACAAAAAGAGTGAAATGGTTTGACACAAAAAAAGGAATTGTGCATCAGCCGCTCTGAAAAGTACCGTATGTTAAAGTTCTGTAAACACCTTCCTTCTTATTGACCAGGTTTTATACTAAAAATTACACTGACTTTCAGAGAGACTTAACACTTCAGCTTTTAATGGCTGATAACAAAAGGGATGTAATTAATTGTTGCATTGTGCACTGTTTCAGGCAGATCACATGGATCATACAAAATGCGAATGTAAAAGAGGTTGGCATGGAAAAGACTGTGGCCAACCAGAAGTGATCTGGCGTGCTTTCATTGCATCCCGTCAAAAAATTTCCCCCAGGAGACGGAGGAAACCTCGCAGAATTATTCACGGTTTTCCAATTACAGGCCTAGAAACAACACTGGCTGAAATTAAACTCCATGAATTGTCTCATGTTGTCGATTGCTTTGTTGTAGGAGAGTCAAACCATACAGCAACAGGACATTTCAAACCCTTTTACTTCAAGCAAAAACTTCATAAGAAGGGCTTTATCTCCGAAGACATTCGGCACAAACTTCTTTACATTCCACTGACCAATTCCCTGCGTAGTAACAACAAAGGGCTGAATTACAGCAGTACCTACAGTAAGAGTTTAAGACAGCAACTCTGGCAAAGGGGGCAAGCCACACTAACAAATTTAAGATCAGATGACCTATATATAGACTCTACTGATGCATATGAAATTACTAATCCAAAAGCATTGCTCTTCTTCAAGCTGTATGATGGCTGGCCTTTGCCAGTTGCATTCAGATTGAGGTGGTCTGCATATGGCTTTTTCTGGCAACATCCAAAACGGACTATCATAACACCTGGTGCTTATACAATAGGAATTATGGAAGATTTATTCCGTAGTAATCCGTCAAGAATTCCGGGTTATCTCATCCCAGGTGTGGAAGAACCTGGAGAGAGATCAGTGTATGAACTCGTTGTGGGAGACTTGAACCACTATGGTGGCTGGTACTGCAGCTGGTGCCTTGAACCGAATGATATTTTGACCATGCTGCAATGGGCCCCTCATGATAACAGCCCAATAGACTGGGACAGAATGAGTGGCAAGAAGATAGATATAACCTACGTAGAAGATCTAGTTGGCACAGGGTTGTGGCTTGATGGTGTGACAGCCCTTATCAGGAAATCCCAGCATGGAGATTTGTACTTTGCCCCTGACTATGTTGCAAACAATACATGGAAATATGACTTTCTGTATACTAACTTCTACAGCAAACTTGATTACTACAATAACTAACGATGACTGCAATAGTAGGTGTTCAGTTGATACTAAGTAATGTTTTTTCTCTTACGAATGCTGTCAACAACTACATATTGATTCTTGTGACTCTGAAATTACTCCACAGCAAGGTAATTTCAAGTCACTAATCATTTCTCATCTGATACAGATCATGGCCAAAATTTGATAATTTCTCAATTTGTTCAGATGTCACTTACAGAATCCATTCTAAAAAATCACATGTCCTCCCACAGAGGTCATGCTTAAGCAGTCAATAGAGAGCTGCATAAAGAATTGATAATTTCAAAGCAAGAAAATTTCTGCTGTTTAAAACGTTTATTATACTGCATGCCGAAACATCAACATTTATGTTCAAACTACATAATGCTCTGACGGACCAACCGACCACATGGTTTCCTCATTCAAATTAACTTATTTCAGTTTTAGAACATTTACCAGTCTCCACTAAATGATGTACCATACAGTGAAAGAATAGCAGACTAGAAAAGTCCACAGCCAATATGTAGAACCATGCAGTCTGGTAAAAGAAGGTCCTTGCTGCCTTCACCATCACACTGATTATGGAGGCAGCAAGGACCTATGAAATGTTGTTAAACTTCTACAAGACTACACTGCGCTACGACCCAGAAGACAGCCATCTTCATACTGACCACTGTTAATAACTTTAAGTCCTACTAAATAATCACCATTTATGGAAGCTGAAGGTTCACTGCTGTGTTCATGGGGTTCCAGTGCTGCACCCTGTCCTAAATCAGATTAATGCAGTCCACATTTTCACCCCATTTCTTAAAGACCCACTTCAAAAACAACCTGTTTTCTATGCCAAGGTCTCCTAAGTGGTCTCTTCCCTTCACGATTTCTCATTGTTCCCATATGAGCCGTATGCTCCATGGTTCTCAACCATTAATTAAATTTTCCATACCTTAGGGATGGCACAGCACATAAGTAATATTAAATCAGGTGGTGTGCTTCAGCAAATTGTAAGTTACAAAAGCAAGTGCTACCTCTACAGTAGTTTATACGAGAATGAGACTGTTATTCAACATTATTACAACACTGCCAGTTTTAGGTTTGTATCCATCGTGTGACCCTTGGTTTGGTATTAATCTGAAGTCCTGTTTTAAATGTTGGTACCATGTTCACATAAACAATATCTTTTATCTGGAGCAGAATCCAAACAAGCTTGCGAGTGGCCCAGGATGTGCAGAAACATTATTTGGTTTGTATGCCCAGTGATCACAGCGGGGGAGTCGACATACCTCGACCCCAAAGCCGTGCCTGGACAAAGTTCTGCGTAACTTCCACCAACAAGCTTGTTTGGTAACTACTGCCAACTCTCACATTGATTCTGTAACAGTTATTTGAATATTGACACACTATGTTTTAAAGTATTTTAAGATATGTTTCAGTATTAAGTTTTCTTTTGTACACTTTAATGTTAATGTTCAAGCACAAGCCTACAACCACATCAAAGTTTGTGAGCTCTCGCATACATATCCAAAACCTTTTGTATTGCTACTCTGAAAATAATAATTGCCGATCGATAACGTTTCCTTACAACTGTGTTTCTTGTATGTATTTTCCCATTCCTTATGTGATTTGCACCAAAGATAGAGCGGAAGTATTTAAATGGAGTAAAAACAAATAACTTAATAACAAGGGCTTCAAATGAGACATCCAACTTCTTTTTCAGAGAACCTCAAATCATAAAATTCCTTTCTGTTCTACCTTCAAGTACTGGTACTATTACTGACTGTACAGTCCATATGCACTTTCATACTTTTGAAACAAATTCAGAACCTACTCTGATTTGGATTTAACAAGCTTTAAATCCATATAGATAATCAATATAAACCTTTTCCTTCAAAGTTGGCACGCATGCATGCATCAACTAAAGAAACAAAAGAACAAAGAAGTTGTTTCCTTATAACCCCAGGAAAATTACACCAAACATTTATATGTTATTACTGTCCATCTTTAGACAACAGATTATAATTTAATGCGCAGGCAACTCTCGGTTTAGGAACCCACCTTCAGCCTCCCATCCCCTTCTCCCTAAACCTGAAACGTGTCATATGTGTATTAAATAGTATGAAATTAAATGATAATCTGTTGTGTAAAGGCAGACAATAAACACATATAAGTTAATCTTCACAACAGTACAATCTTACATTACAAATGTTCAAAAATATGATGGTGTGAATAATTTCTGGCAGAGCTAAAATACAATTTAATATTGGTGGGAGCACAGTATTCTTCACATCCCCAAGCGTAAGCTAGAACACACAAAAATCTACATCCAGATCTGTTCACGGATGAAACCTACAATCCTCTGAATAAGAATCCAGCATCCTTCCCACACAAAAGACTTGCATGAACAGCGCTTCATATACCAAATCAAAGACATGACACATAAAGTAGGCATATCTCATGCATTTACTTTAAATGTAATTTATCAAATGTATTGATATAGGGTTTGAATATGAGTAATATTCAGGCTGCATTTGATCTGCTGAAATTTTTCATTCATGTTCAGAATGAAAAGTCATAACAGATAAAACATTCCACTGAAAACAAAGTTACAATAAATATAGGAAATTCCTTAATTTTAAAAGTGTCTGAACTTGTACTTGACGAGCTTAAAAAAAACTCAGTATCTCCATTTAGGATCCTACTAAGTCATCACCCTGATGCCATGAAAACCTCAAATTATACTTGACGACAGTTCTGTTCATCCTCTACAAGTTACTGCCAGGACCAAAGTACTGGACTGATACTTACCAGTTGTGTTGTAATAACGCAATGGATGTAGCTATATAAGGCAGCATGAAGTAGAGTGAAAACTGATGTGCTTTCCACAAGTCGCCACCCACTTCAATTATGTTAAACACGGTGATGGACGCAGCTATTACAACAGACTGACCCACTTCCAGTCCATTCACGCCTGCTAATATATTGATGGCATTGGTGCAAAACACTGCCAGCATGCCCATGTACACATAGTACAGAATTCCTAGGGACCAAAATTAAAAAAGCATATTAAAGGTTTAAACTACGGCACATGTATCAGTGACTCAGGAGATGACCCACAACGTAAAGGAACACGATGAATCCTGCATGTTCACCACCTAATTGACTCTCGAAGTAGAGGAAGCAATCCAATTGTGATTTCATCCTTATTTTACAAACTTGTACATGAACGGGAATCCGATCTTACTGACACGTCAGAACCGGCACAACCACTCGCCGAATAAAACTGTTGTGAATTAATAAAATCAAGTCTGAAGAAAACACTTCCCATTGCTTCATGCATTACCAGATTTTCTCTAGACACACAAGATATCACCTGGTCCTCACAGTGAATTTTCTTTGCATACAATAAATTACGTAATAATAGAGTTAGATCAGTTCTACATAAAAGCATAGGAAATCAGAAGATATTTGAGAAAAGACAGTATGTGGTACAGTCAACTATTTATGAACATTTTCAACAGAAACCAAACACCACACAGCTCACGTCAGTCTTGGTGTCTGAGCATACAAAAAAATTCTATAAATATATAGAAAACACTGAAGAGACCAAAATCTGTTTGGGTAGATGAATTTTATTTTTGGAACCGGGCATACAAAAAAAATCAGATACATTCCAGGATTACATCTTTCTGCACTGTGCACTTGAAATGATGAAACCTGATGCTGGGGGCAGAAGTATCAAACTTATCATTAAATTATTCTCACAGAGAAAGCAGGTGTGTGACAGGACAATGCTTGTCATGAAAGTATTAGCTCCTAGGGAAATTCCAGCGTTAAAATCATTGTTAAGGAGAACACTCTGCGCAAGGTGAGGTCTAGACGTGCTAGAGCCCAAAATAATTCAATTTTCCAACAACAGTTAATAGCTTACCTAGACTAATGGAAAATCCAAACCATGGTCTGAAAGGTTTAGGAATTATAATGGTAGTTGAATTAAAATTAACATAATAGACCATCAAAAGTGGAAGAGATGATATAGTAGGCAGCAACAGCTTGTGCCTCCATCTCAAGTCTAGAACATCGTCTGCAAAACCCAGGAGAAGCATGCAGCAAATTGACAGCAGAGCTGATAACAGCTCAACAAACTGAAACAATAGGAAACAACTGTAAAACAACATTTGTTCAGGTAGGAGATGCAGTCACCATCTAAATAAACCAAATTTCTGTTCTTGAAGTCCTGGAAGGTTCAAGACCAGTTTTGCCCTATGCAAACTTATTAGAAAGCAAAGATAAAATGTCACAAAAACAAAGTTTTGGAGAAAATGTTTCCAAATTCACTACATGGGCATCCCCTACTTGCTACCAACATAATCCATTGTCACTGGGATGACTGTTTTGTCAAGCTGGTATGTAATTAATAAATAAAATTACAACAATCTAATGACACAATCCATATGCAATTCAGTGGGACTAAATTTCCAAGACCGATTATTTAATAACTATAAAGTGTTACCCTTTTGCTCATTTAAATGCAATTCACACGCCATGTAATGTGACTTTTGAAATAGGATAAAAGGGGTTAATTCCCAAGAAGTGTACCACATATGGCTGCTGAAATAGCGATGCTCTCTTACTTCGGTATTATAAGTACCCATCAAGCATACCTCATCATGGGGAAAATCTGCATTCTTCAGTATAGACTGACTGAATGGAACAGGAATGAAGATAAAAAGTGTGATTAAGAAAACACATCCTGTTACAACACCTAAAGCTTCTGGTCTGCAAAAAAAACACATTAATTAACATTCAATAATAACAACAGTTATTAACTCTCAAGGTACAACTTTACAGCATAACCCTGGATAAGTTGGAATCGTCTGTCTACAGCTCTTAATGGTAAATAATACCAAAACTGACCGGTTAAGTGACTGTCATAGGCTAGAATAGTAATACTGCATCTTAGTAACTATATATAAATAAAGTCTGGATTAACAAATAGCTGTAAGTGGGCACTATTGTATTGTTACTTCTACATAATACTTGCATCTTTTCTTTTCTACTTTTACTCATATCCACACCATACAAATCTGCTTTAACAAACATATCTTTAAAACGTGGTATAATTCTTAATGTAACTACATATGCCACTACTGACAGCATACTGTTCACAAGAACAGGGAACCACATTTTAATGATTGTGCCTAAATTTTCGAGAAACGCACACGTATACGCGGTACAAAGTCAATGATGAAGGAAATCATTTGAACGTGTTCTACACAAACTCTTTCCACACGTCACAATGCCTTCGCAATTCATCGTTCCAGACCACATTCGACTTTAATAAAATTCTACACATTGGTTAAATTGCCTGCACTGATGTGTACCACCTTACACACCAAACACAACAAATATTTTGTATAGTTTGGATAAAGTTTCAAGATCACTTCAGATCCTTGAATTAAAATTATTAAGTTTTACACTATGGAATGAATGAAAGTTTCAATGTCACGTCCTCCTTGCTTCCCTAGTTTTGTAATTTACAGATTATAAATTGGCGAAGGTGGCTGCCATCATAATACAAGCATGGCCGCAGAGTAGCTCTGCAATACGAACAACATAACCCTTAAATAAATGTTCAAGGAATGAGGATATACGGGCGTGAACAGTGGTTGCGATACAGAAATACAAAGTTTCTTTTACAAACCGACCTGTGTCCTTTTTCATTGGTAACGCGTATTCGTACCACTCCAGGCGACATAAGTAAATTCGTTTTTATTTGTATTCTGGGCACATAAAAAATGAGGCTATATATATTCCTAAGTTTTATCATAGGAATAATGTCATTTTTCCTAATTCGAAGCACCTTGTATGTGGTCCAAGGTACTATGATGGACACACTTTTGCATGCAACAGCTACAGTTAAGCATACCGATAAATATTACGTAAATAACTTATAGTGTTAAATTTCCTGTATGTTATCAGTGTCTAACAGGAAATCACATGCAAAAAAGAATTTATAACTTCAGCACAGTAAGAATCTTTCTTATAACTAATGAGGTTACCATTTAGCATATGGAGGTTATATTTATGCCTTGTATTCATACAATGTATGTCAGAATTTGTTTGAAACTTTTCCACATTGTCCACAACAAACAATAGTAATGAGTGTAAAAATTCACTTGCAAGGGGAAATATATTAAATTTCTTAAATAATTCTGAACAACATCTCATCTCTTTTTTGAACACCTACCATTAATCTAATTATTTTCTTTTCGATGTAAAATAAATTTTTGTAGGCAACATATTTATAATTCGGAAGGTTCTAGAGGCAGTTTCATTCATGTACTGTATTGCCTCTTCCTTTGCTGGGCATTTAGTACATTTAAGTGAGATTTCAGATTCTCATGATGATGAGTATGAAGATTACAGCCTTCTGAGATATTGCACTGCGTAGTCTCATAGAAGTCAACATCTATGAAACTGCATGGCACAATCGGCTGTCATCTTCAGTACCACTGTTAAATGTCAGTGATTCTCTACTGATGGAGTCCATGATAGAGGTTTGAGGTAATTCAAGAAGATATGTAAGATTGGTTGAAGCACAAGAGAAAAATGTTACATACATTTATTTTGTATTTTAGACGCTGAAGTTAAAAAGAATGAACTCTTACTTTTCATTGGTATTATGTCTTCCCAAAATAACTCTGAAGCAAGACAAAGCATTCGGGATACTTGGCTTAATCTTACAGGAGAACAAGGTCTAAAGTATTATTTTCTCCTTGGTAAAGAAGTTTGTAATGTTCCTCCTGAAGACAGACTATACAAAGAAGCCTGTACAGAATGGACAGTCGGTGAGTAGTCATCGTATTTTATTGCAGCTGACTTAAAACTATAGTAATTCTGTCAGCTAAAGAAAATAGTAAAATGTTACAGTGATTTGTTATTAGAAAGAAGAAAGCAATAATTTAATAATGCTGAATAAGTGCTGTAAAGATGGCCATTCATTGAGCACTTTAATATGCTTGTTTTTTGCTTCTTAGAAATAAAGATCAATTTTATAATGTCTCCCAATTGTGTTTGAATACCCTTACATTTAGCCCAGCTCCATGCCTCAGATGACCCACCCTTGTCCTGACTTTGTATACTTTCTGATTAATATCATTCTGATCATAATTTCATAGTACTTTTATGTTTTATTCCCAGACATAAAAGGATCTTCAGAATTCTCTACAGGTGAAGCTGACATACTAAGAGCAAGAATTTTTCAGAAAACAGAAGCATATGTTGGTTTCACATTTCTAGTTCATCATTCTGTGGTCATACACAGACTGAACATACAGAGAGGCTTTTTGGTCGCAGCTGGTGGCTTTGTCAAACTGAATCTGATTAACTCTGTCACCAGGGAGAAAATAGTTTCAGCAACTTTCTCAGATGTTGAGAATAATTCTGGTTCTGATCTTCTAGAGAAGTCTGTTGAACCATACTTACTGCCTAAGGGTTTTGAGGGACAGGTTATCGTGGAATTGATCGGTAACAACTCGGGAAAGAACCTGGACTACTCAGAGTGCTGGCTGCAGTGGAACAATGCAAGCGGATTAATCACATTTCTGCAGCTTGTCAGAAATATAAATGAGAAGCCAGTGCCGTTCCATTACGTGTCCTGCACATTTGCCAGCCTGACATTCACTCTTCACGGTATGTTGCTAGGATACTTGTCAACAGACTTCCCACAGACCTGATTCAGCTCCACATTGTTTTATCTGATTTGTATATCTTATTCTTAGGTTTTTGCGGCTGAAGTTCAACGTACAGTTTCGGCTTTCAAGGAGGAGCCGCGCCAAATGTCAATTATTAGCTGTTGTACATATTCACCCTGAAGATCGCAACCGCAAAGTTTTCAAAATGTTGGATAATTTTTTATCATTCAATATCGCTCATCCCTGAAAGCCAAACTTGTACAGTGGCTTGCATTTGTTACAAAACTTGACTACGCTGGCAAATCTGAGTTTCTGATATTACTTCGAAACTGACAATGACCAATTTCTTCTTTGTATCTCCCATTTTATCATTCACTTGCTGATAATGAGGGCATATCGTGTTATGGTTAAGCCATCATCCCCCTGTAGATTTTACCAGATTTTGAATTTTATGATAAGTCTCTGCATATGAAATTTTATTTGGTACCTTTGTGTAGGTCTATATACAAGGTCTTGACTGCAGAAATTCACAAGAATGACCATAAGAGATATATTTATATATTCTGAAAGAACAGATCAGGAATCTGTTTCTCCAATATAAAAGCCTAGTCTGGCATACAGGAATGTTTCTGCATATCAACATTAAATACTAAAGATTAGTATAGTTTTATAAGGGCAAATTTTCACATTGCAGACCCTTCTGGATACATTAATGGACCTTTGGGTCCAATAAGAGGCAGTGAGTTTATTGAACAGCTGAGCAACTAACAGCTTCTGAAGTAGGCTTCTGCTCCATGGAGTTAATTACTAAATCAAACTAGCATCTCTGCCTTGCCTAGTTTGGCTTGTAGATACAAGCCAGACTTTGTGTTCATTCACATTCTTTCTAAAATGCACTTTTCCGTGACTAGCCAATCTCTTGTGTATGAATAAATGGTGGTTTCAGCTTTCAAGAATAAAATATGTATGTCGCAGTTCTTGAGCTGCTGACATTTATTCAGATGGCTGAGAAGTTTCTTGTTATGGAACCTGAAAATTCATCACCAACATCATATAATGTAATATTTTTTCAGAAAGAGGAGAGCTTGAGTCGCACATTGCATCTAAACTTGATCGCAAAAAAACATGGGAAAATGAAATCAAATCACTGAAGAGTAAGCTTCTAAGAGAATCAGAAGAAAAGAAAGATATTCTGTTCCTCGATGTGGTCGATGTTTATAGAAATTTGCCGCGAAAACTTCTACATTTCTTTAAATGGTGAGGGCATTTATTTCCACAATATAGATATAGTTATGTGTTGGAATAATTGAAAATTCTACCT